AGGACATCTGAATCCCTCCAGTGGAATGTAAATCACCCTGCGTAAAGTTTTAAATTGTAAAAAGCATTTTTTGAAACTCCTCCAGTGAAAAAAAAATCCCTCCGGTGGTCTCCAGTAGAATCGAAATCTTACTACGAACTTCTTTGAGTCCAGTAGTAAGACAATTCAAAAGTTGTATTAAATTTTTCTGTAATTTGATGCATTTATTTGTCAAACTAGTTTTAAAAGTAAAATTCTTGATTTAATAAATTAATTTTGATAAAAGTGTATCTCTAAGATTTGAAATTTATTTTTCTAGCTAAATACATATGTAATTGCCTGTTGTCTTGTAAGTAGTTTAAGATACATTTTGGTGTTCTTCTTTACTTTTATTCCAGCACATTTATACCGCTACAGTTATCTGTATAATAAGGCAATATAAATGCATAAAAGTATAATGCAAGAATATACACATTCTTAGATATTAAGAATAAAAAATAGTACAGTGGTTTCAGCTAATAGCATTCTTTAAAATATTTCTAAAATAGACTGTCGTGATATTAAGAATTTCGTTCACTTTTGATTTTATTTAACAAAACTGAGATTTGAACGAAACTCTTAATATGACGACAGTCTCCTAAAACTCTTAATATCACGACAGTCTCCTAAAACTCTTAATATCACGACAGTCTCCTAAAACTCTTTATATCACGACAGTCTCCTAAAACTCTTAATATCACGACAGTCTCCTCAAACTCTTAATATCACGACAGTCTCCTAAAACTCTTAATATCACGACAGTCTCCTAAAACTCTTAATATCACGACAGTCTCCTAAAACTCTTAATATGACGACAGTCTCCTAAAAAAGGAATAAAGTGCTTTTCATATGTAATGCTTTTTTCATTGTTTCGTTGTAGCAATGTTTATGGGAAGCACTGTATTTACATTTTCCTTTGTCTACGAAAATTCGAAATAGAAAATCTTCCTTATCTATGAAATGTCCTTTCTATGAAATGTCCTATCTATGAAATGTCCTATCTATGAAATGACCTTCCTATGAATTTCTTTTTCTATGAAATTTCCTATCTATGAAATGTCCGTTTATGAAATGTCTTTCTATAAAATGTCCTATTTCTATAAAATGTCCCAACGACTTAATAAAAAACATTTTAACTAAAGAAAAATATTGAACAAAAGATCTTTATTGTTAACATTTTTGGTCATTGTTTTATCTTAAGTTTGAAATTTTTTTCAAAGAATCGTTGAAGGCGAAGCATGCAATAAACATAATAACTTTTTTCCTTAACTCAAAAGTAAAGGTATTTAGTTTACGTTTATTACGATAATAATATGTAGTAATCATAGAAAATTCCAGGATCAGTATTCAATAGCTATTATATATATCAAAGAGATATCACCCCCTCCCCCCAAGGCTCCCCCTCCTTTTCAACCCAGAATCTATGTATAGCCTAGGTGGAGGTCTGTGGGAGGTCCTTGGACTTTGGAGGACTGGACGTTTAGAAAGGACGGAAGACTAACAGTTTGAAACTTCCATGTTGCACAAAATGCACAGTGCACAGTTAAAAGCTCGTGCGCAAATTAATCGATGTAAATTTGGTCAATTACTTCTAAAAAACTAAAGCTAAAAGAAAGTGCACTATAGTTTTAGAATGTTCAATGTTCATGTCTCCTAAAAAAAAGTAAGTTTGTTGAGCGGCGACACTTCATGGTCAAGCACAGCCTTGAAAATTGACACAAATTTTCATAGCAACCTAGATTTACATAAATGGAGACAGCAAGTATCGCTTAGCTAAACTCAGTAACGTAAGAATTATCTTATTAAACAAAGAATCACAATAAAAAGCAAATGAACGAAAGAAAAAATCTCATTTATAATATTGCAAAAAATATATAAAAAATTTGAAGATACATGTTGGTGTAAAAAATTAACCTTATCTATAATGTTTTAATATAGCTTAAGCTTTACAAAATGGCGATAATTTTTGTGACTTTTTGCGCATGTGTTACATATTAAGCGGGAAACTTTCCACAATCGTTGCGTTGGATATCCTGTTTATCAATGGGGAACTGAAACTCTTAAAGTATGCTAATTTGAAGGTTGAATTTAGCTTTTCGACTTCAATATTCTTTAATAGGTATTCTAGTAATTTGAAAGTAAAAGAACACGTCTACAACCTATATGAAAGGAATCATAAATGTAAGAAAAAAGACTGAACTAATTCCGTACAGTCGTCTCTGAAGTCACATTCTTTGTGGGTAACCTTGTAGATCTTTAGTTTACCCTAATAATGAGTGGTAATTATAGGAAATCTCTACCAGACTAAGGATCATTATTCATAATATATAAATGAGGTTCGAAATAAGGAGGTGGTTAATTTTGTAAAACTAAATTTTCTCATAGAGATAGATAAATTATTTCACAACTCATGTCAAAGGTGACTGCCTTTTCATAGGGACTGAAACATAATTAGAAGTGTTTCTCCATGCAAAGATGGCAATGCCTGCCTGACTGATTCGTGTAAAAGATATCGTTGTAAATCGGACATTTCATTCTTTGCATGAAGGTCATTTTAAAATGCGAGCACAAGCCCTTTAAATCAGAAATACTTCTAATGTTAAGTGCGTTTTGTTGCCTCAAAAATACAGAAAACAATAATTGTTTAAATTTATTTATCAAAAAATACTACAATTTTTCCAAATTGTCCAATATGTCAACATCACACGCATCCAGTTCCACCTTGTTTAATGGCTCATATCTTCCCAACAAGAATCCAGTGCACGATCCATGTTCTCTGATATACTAAACAATTTTTTGTTCTTAAATTGACCTGTTGATTGTATACATGTTATAGACACGTATGTAATCTCCATTTATAAAGTGAAATGCCGACCAAACAGTGTCAAAATGTCGGCTAAAAGAATAATGAGATAATTTTTTTTTTCGGAAAAATATTTTTTTTTCAAATTGTGTTTTTTTTGATAAAATTTACTAATTAAAAATGTTTCTACAGTCCCTATAAGTTGGTATTGAAATCCCCGATTCAAATTTTCTTGGAACCTACTTTTCATTTTCACTAGTTAGCTTCCAATTTTCATTGATTTTCTCAATATCTAAAACAAAAACCAAAATTATTTTTTGTTTAGTTTAATTTTTTGCAATATTTTGTCAAAATTGAACTTTAAGTTATAAGAATTGATTACTCATTTCAAACTCCAATTCTTATAAATTAGCAACCTGATATCGTATCTATAGACAAACTATGAATTTTACTAGATCAAAATATCAAAGTTTGAAATAGGGTTCACAAAGATATGTAATCATGAAGATTGCAAAGATAAACCGATTAGAACAAGCGTAATCTACCCTATGCGTAAAAAAATTAACAAAAAAATCCTTACTACTACTATTTATGAAAAACAAAAATTTCACAGTGATTGTTTCAAAAATGAGAGTGCTATGGCAATAAAACTAGAGGGGGGGGCCGCCAACTTCCCCCCCCCAGCCTGTTTAGGGTTAAGGTGAGTAAACAGTTCTTTTGCAATTATTATTAATTAAGTAACTTACTAAGTAATTCTAATGTTTGAGTAGAATTGTGGCCAACAGGTCCAACATAACAAAGTTCTTTCCCAGTTATCCTGAACTTCTTATTCCCATGTATCCCTAAATATATATATTGCACAAAAATCTAATACTTACCTTGTCTAACGGTTTTATAAGTTTTTATCCAAAAAAAATGCAGGACAGATCGAACCAGTTTTTTTCGGCACATCACATGCTCATAGGAAGATTATAAATAGTTTTTATGAAAAATTTAGCGCCGAAAAATGTTAACATTTTTTTTTTGAAAATTCAACAAATTTGTAATTTTGTAACCATCAATCAGAAATTTGTAATTTTGTAACCATCAATCAGAAATTTGTAATTTTGTTACTGAAATCTGATATTTTTTGAAGAACGATGAATATAATGGTGACTTTTCAACATAAATCTAAAACTAAATGTTGGAATGTCAAAATTAAATTTTTAATAAGATTATGGCCTTTTTATGCTAAATTATTTCATCTTTGCCACTCATTCAAAACCCCATCTAAATATACGCAGATTGAACTGGTGAATTTGTTTCTCATCATGACTTCAAAATAATCTACAAACGTTTTGAAAGTGCTAGCACCAAAGCTGACCATGAGAGAACGGAAATGTGCTTTCAGACATAAAGCATGGAGTTATAGGGATGGGGATGGCTTTTAAAAGGATATTTATTAACATGGAGTTATAGGGATGGGCACCATTGTTATATGCTTAGTTGAACTTTCAGAAAACTTTGGTTTTTATAAACTAAAATCCACTTTGGAAACCCTTTTTACAATTGACTGTATCAAAGTACATAATCACCAGTTTGCATGAAGTCAGAGCTCGCAGGTCCATCCAAATGTATCAACTTCACATACTTTCCATCATCCTTACCTGAAACTCGTTAAACTAAAGTAAACAGATTGAAATTCTATATTTTTCAAATCATCATCAGTTATTGAAGAGATATTGGAATGAACAAAAAGATTTTAAAATATGTAATTGCAGATAAATTTGTTTTTCTCTTATTTTATGTTATTCCAAGAATTTAGAGAAGCTACGATGTCACAAACTTGTGTCAGAAATGTCTGATAGCTTCTTCTATTGCAGTGCAAACTTGACACGACGTTTCATGATTATTGAGTTATGTTCTTGATTGACAAGGGTAATTAGAAGATCACATAGAATTACGTCTACAGTCCCTTTAATATATAAATTTAATAAGGTTTCCCCCTTTTCCTTAGCTTACCTTTAGCAATAAAGTGAGATTCGAAATAAGTAGGACCAGATTTATTTGTATCGAACGCCCGAATTTTTTTCTGAAAAAAAATATTTTTTTTTCGAGTTTTCTATTTTATTTTTAGTTTTCCCTTAATGTTTACGTTACTCACCGCTGTTATATAGAAGTCTTCGAGTCTTTTTTTCATACAAAGTTTGCCAGTTTTAGCCACCATTTTTATTTTTCGATACAACACCTGAAATATATTTTAGAATTTTGCAGATTTTCATGTTTTACATGCACACATATATTAAAACTTTAGAGCTGAAAACTTTAGAATGGTGGATATCGAGACTAACCTAATCTTGCACTTGTATCATGAAAAGTGTATAAAGTTCAACCAATCAAGGTCGCGTATAAGAATAAATTTGAAATTTTGCGCGCCATTTAAGACTAATATACAGAAGCGGGAGAGACTCTCTAATTTAGAAAACCGGTTTTTGATTTTTCTCTACTTTATCCAAGAAAGAACGGTTTAAGAAGAAAATCAAAAGTGTGTCCGTTGGATACTCAAATTAAGTAATTGGGATTAAGGATATCTCATTCTAAAGTTTTCAGCTCAGATTATTTTTTTCCATTTATTTCTTATCTACTCACTTTATGAAATCCAGCGGCATGGTTTTGCATTTTCTCGCCAACTCTTTCCACGGTTTTTTTTTCTAAAACAAGCTGATCGTTTTTCTAAAACAAGCTGATCGTTTTTTTTCTAAAACAAGCTGATCGTTTTTTTTCTAAAACAAGCTGATCGTTTTTTTTCTAAAACAAGCTGATCGTTTTTCTAAAACAAGCTGATCGTTTTTTTTCTAAAACAAGCTGATCGTTTTTCTAAATTTTTCTAAAACAAGCTGATCGTTTTTCTAAAACAAGCTGATCGTTTTTCTAAAACAAGATGATCGTTTTTCTAAAACAAGCTGATCGTTTTTAACTTTACAAAAACTAAATTTAAACGTCCAAGCGTGGATAAACTGCAGAAATGATTATTTATTAATTTCGCTTCACAACAGAAATAAATATAAATTTACTTTGGGGAAGAGCGGTGGTTTTTTTTAAAGTTCAGAACAGTATAGGAAGTTAGTTTTAACCCCTTTTTAAAATCAAAGGTTTGTGTGTTCATAATAATTATAGATTTGACTTATTTAAGACGGATCCCTTGACATAAACAGAGAATTTTGAACATCAATTGCTTAGGAGCATCTTTGAGTTGTAATAAATGCCATAGCTGTGATCTGAATTCAAAAATGATTTGAATTTTGATACGGATGAACAATCACCATGTATATATCTATATATAAATTTGGCTTGTCTGTCTGGGTGTCTGTTTGTTTGTATCCAATAAACGTCAAAACGGCTGAACCGATCGGGCCCAAATTTTTTGTGGGACATCATGTGACCACAGGGAAGGTTTATGAATGATAAAAAAATGTGTTTTAAAGGTTTTTATTTTTGTAAAAAAAATTAAATTCTTTAAAATCCGCGAATTTTTTTTAAAATCCGCAAAATTTTTTTCTTCTTTGTTTTAAAATGTAAAACAAAAAGAACATGTTTACAATTTAAATAGAAGATGGGCGCGAAGCGCCCACAAGCCTAGTTTAATACATTTTTTTTGATTTTGTCTGCAGTTAAAAGTTTTTAGAGCGTAGAATATGTAAAATGTAAAATAAAAAATTGAAATTCATACGAAGGATTACTGAACGAACTGAACCCAAACTCTAATTTCTAAAAATTCATGTATTGAATCATTTTAATTAAAACTTTATAGACTTTTTAATTAAATAGAATTCAGAGTTTGGATTATTAAAGGTTTACGACATCAGAGCTGAAAACTTTAGAATAGTGGATATTAAGATTAATGCTTGATCCTCTCTTTTTCTTAATATCGAGACTAACCTAATCTTGCACTTGTATCATGAAAAGTGTGTAAAATTCAGCCAATCAGAGTTGCGTATAAGAAGCCAATAAATTCGAAATTTTGCGCGCCATTTAAGATTATATACAGAAATCTCTAAATTAAAAAAACCGGTTTTTGATTTTTCTCTACTATATCCAAGAAAGAACGGTTTAAGAAGAAAATCAAAAGTATGTCCATCGGATACTCAGATTAAGTAATTGGGATTAAGGATTAAGGATTAAGGTTCTTAATTCATAAAATTAAAAAATTATAATCTTTTGGCCAGTTACTGTTTTCCACGGAAAAAATTTCCAATTTACCTTTCATGAACTGTGCAGGTAAAATGTGATCTCTTACGAATTTATTTGCCCGTTCTTTGTCACAGGCATCCTAAAAGAACCGTAAAAAACAAAACATTTATGATCAAAGATTAAATAAGATTGTATTATTATGTGTTGACCTTCCATAAAGAAGATTTCTCATTATTTCTTTTTATAGCATGCGGTATAGATATACTGAGAAGTAATCAAGTTTTATTTAATTAAATTTCTGAAGTGACTGTAACTGTAGTTTCATAAGATCCTCAATTGATGTCTGATTAACAACGGTACTTCTAGCCCTGTATCTGATGTGGAAGAAATCTCAAAAATATAACATCTATAACTTTACAGTAATACTTTTCTTTTAAAAAAAAATATTTCCATCATATACTAAAAACTCATTTAAAAGAATATACTTAATATATACCCTCCAATGAGCTTGTTGTTCTTGACTCCATTCATCCTTAACATCCTTAACGTTTGTTATCACTTGTAATTTAACAGCAATAAGTTTCACTTTTACGCTAACTTTTATGCAAAATTCTCTCTATTTAAAAAAAAAATTTTTAAGTAAAAATAAAATGGCATCACCAAAATTCCAACCCTAGCATATTTATAGTTGAGTTATATTTGGGGATATTTTTTGTTCAATTGATTAAACACGGGCAGCCGTAGTACATTTGAATTTCCGAGCCGGGTCAACCTTTCCGGTCCCAGTAGTTGTAACTGTATCGCTCGGACATTGCATTGGGTAAAGCAGACACTCAATAGGACAAGCCGGTGCAACAAGGTTGACGCGGTCAGACTTCAGGTTTATTTTACTTTTACTAAAGGGTCAGAGGTACGTGTAAAAAATATACAAATAAAAGATTACCTTTGTTAGACTTTTTGAAGTAGCTTTATCAAATTCATTCGATAAAACGTCTACTGCCTCTACTGCCATTATTCTCAGATTTATAAATATAGCCCTTAAAACATTACCTAGGTAATAATGTCCATTATCTGAATGAAAATGTACCATATATATATATATGTGTTAAATAGGGTTTTGTTATATCGTGTATAAAGTAAATTTTATTACAGTACAATTTTGTCATTTTGCATAACATTATATGCTCAATGAACTTTACTCCTTAATTAGGTTATTTTTTTAAGATTTACTGATCGGGATATAAAATAGGACATACAATTGTACTACTAAAATTTGAACTTACATTTGGTAATTTTTATTTTAGAATTTTGTGAACCTTCCATTTTGTCCATTAATACATTTAGTGAATTCACATCTCGTCACTTTTACTTTAGGTCAATTTACATTTTATCAACTGTTTACATTTAGCATTAAAAAAGAAACTGAGTTTTTGCCACGAACTCGAATTTTCCAATCTCCATATATTTCCAACCTGACAGTGTAAACCTTTGATATTTCAAACTTATAATTTTTTCTACCAAACGTTGTTATAGGTTGAAATGTATCAAATGTAGTGATTTTCGACTTGTAAGTGTAAGTTTTACGTATTGTTGTCACTCCCTTTAGACACACCTGTATGTACTTATTGATGAAACTGTAAAAAAATTATCAAATTAAAAAGATGTAAGTTGTGTACCTGCTGATGATTCACTGATGAAGATAAGAAGAAGATAAGAATTAAAGATAAGAATGTATTGCAACATCGAGTTTACAATAATTGTTTACTTTTTAACATCATGTTTATTTATAATTTTTAATTCATTTATAAGGCCGGGTAGCCCGACTTGTATCCTTCATCAGTCTAAGGTTTAAAATTCAAAGGGTACTGAATTGTGAATTGGACACCACCATATTTCAGTAGAAGTAAATATTTCCATTTACTGTTATAGCGCCGATTAAAGAATTCATAACTCTAATTGGATAATGAGATAGATAGAAAGAGATATGTTACCGCCATACTATTTCCATTGGTTCAGAATAGACACCAAACACATGACTGAACCCTGATTGGATCAGGCGCTAATGGACTCGGCATACAGGAGTCGCCACTCTGTAAATATAAACTTAAGCTGTGAGTCTCTTTATCAAAACAATATGTAGAGTTTACACAAAAAGGTTTAGAACACGTTAAATCTTTATTTAAGAATCGATAATTACTTTTTGAAACATTAAAATCTCCACAATTCCTTCATTGGTCTCTGCTGTATAAATCCGCAAGTCACTTTTATAGAAAACCCACAGTTAAAGATTTTTGATTTTTTAGATAGAAAAACAAAGATATCTTTGTAATTTTTGCTCAGATCAAGGATTATAGATTACCTGTAAATCAGGCATCCCCTCCCCTTTTTATAAAGAAGGTCACTCAAAAGTACGTCAACAGTCCCTTTTTCAAACCACTTCAGGAAAAATAAATAGTTATAAAGATGCTAGGATCGGACATCTTGAATAAATAACGAATCTACACAGATAGCCTTGTTACAAAGAAATGTATTAAACCTTTTGTAGATAAATTGAACAGAAAAATGATAAAAGAAATCTAATATCAATGCTTATATAATATTTACAATTTTTCCTGTAATTTAATTAGTACTGTTAACTTAGTGTTAACATTATTTTCTATAATTCAATATATAGTAAACAAAGAACTGAACACTTGGCACAAACTCTAATTTTCCAATCCCTATATCTTTACAACCTGGAAAAGTAAGTATTACAAAATGGTAAAATAGCTAAAGATAAATGTTATTTTAAGAATAGACTAGCTGAAGGGCTCGGCGTTGCCCGTGGAAAAAAAAATGTTGAAAAAAAAGTTTGAAATAAAAAATGTCGAATTTTTTTAGCCTTTAACACCCCCGGCCACCCATGAGTGTCCACAAAAAATTTCAGCCCAATTTGATACGGTCCAGCCGTTTGACCGGCTATAGGCAACATATATATATATACGAATGTCTTGTTTTATTATATAGATAAAAACATATGGTAGGTTACATAGAAATCGAGTCCTTGCCACACAGTCTAATTTTCTAACCCCTATATCTTTGCAACCCAATGTTGTAGACCTTAGATATTTAAAACTATAGATTCTTTTACATAAAATAACCTAAATTAGAAATATCAAAGGTAGAAATATCAGGTCGGAAAATTTAAAGGTATTAACAAATTTAAGTTTGTCTCAAAAATTAATTTCATTTGCCATGTAACAGTTTTCTAGTTTATAATTTGCCAAGTGGCTGATAGATAATTTGCCAGGTGGCTGACAGACAATTTGCCAGGTGGCTGGTAGACAATTTGCCAGGTGCCTGGTAGACAATTTGCCAGGTGGCTGGTAGATAATTTGCCAGAGGACTGACAGACAATTTGCCAGGTGGCTGGTAGACAATTTGCCAGGTGGCTGGTAGACAATTTGCCAGGTGGCTGGTAGATAATTTACCAGGTGGCTGGTAGACAATTTGCCAGGTGGCTGACAGACAATTTGCCAGGTGGCTGGTAGACAATTTGCCAGGTTACTGGTAGACAATTTGCCAGGTGGCTGGTAGACAATTTGCCAGGTGGCTGGTAGACAATTTGCCAGGTGGCTGGTAGACAATTTGCCAGGTGGCTGGTAGATAATTTGCCAGGTGGCTGGTAGACAATTTGCCAGGTGTCTGGTAGACAATTTGCCAGGTGGCTGTTAGACAATTTGACAGTTTATAGGGTTAGGAATTAGTCAGACCCCGTGCAGGGTACAAAAGGGACCGAGCACTGAACCATGACACGTTAGCCTCAGATACCTGGGACCAAAATGAATATGAACTGCAAATTTGAATCACCGATTCAAATCCTTTCTAGATCATTATCTTGATATCGGTGGTCATATTTGAACCGGCAGGAGGTGGTTCAGCAACGTAGCTCAAATTCATTAAATTTTGTCCCATCGCATTTGTTTGAATCTCCTTACAAACGTCAGTGAAACTTAGTGCAAAGTCTAATTCTTTATGAGAATATATATATATATATATATATATATTTTTGTATATTTTATATATTGTTAATATAGTTTATTCTTTTACATTAGGAAATTGGTAACTGTAGACATGCAGAAACAATATTGTATCTAATATCTAGTAAATGTATAAACATAAGCAATGAATATGTTTATGTACATTAATATTGTATCTAATATCTAGTAAATGGATGTACATAAACAATGAATATGTTTATGTACATTAATATTGTATCTAATATCTACTAAATGGATGTACATAAACAATGAATATGTTTATGTACATTAATCCGGGGAGAGGGTTTATTCTTCAGGTTTAACCTGAATTGAGTAAGATGATTTTTTGTTTGATATAGTTCAAAAAGCATTTTTTTTAAAAATACGAAAAGATACTAAACATCATTTTTGAATATATTTTTGGAAGTAAATGTAAAATAATGACATGATGAAGCACTTTTTTATAATATATTGTCTCACAAATTATATAGTTAGAACAGGAGACGAACTTCTACATATTATATAGTTAGAACAGGAGATAAACTTCTACAAATTATATAGTTAGAACAGGAGATAAACTTCTACAAATTATATAGTTAGAACAGGAGATAAACTTCTACAAATTATCTAGTTAGAACAGGAGATAAACTTCTACATATTATATAGTTAGAACAGGAGATAAACTTCTACAAATTATTGTGTTGAAAAGTTGACTATATCGATAATTCTAAATCTTTGAACAAAAATGTCAAATACTTAAGACAATAAAATTCCGTATTTATTGATTAGAATTTGTTTGAAGTTTATGTCAGATTTCTCAAGTTATCTGCAAATGGTTTTATGACCGACAAATTGGACCAAAACATAGAATAGAACCAAAATCAATTTGACATAGTCATATCCGCAAAAATGACTTGCTTTAGAAACAATGAAAAAATTATCAAAAATTCAAATTTTTCAAGCAAGAAAAAGGAACCTTATTAACCATACAATGATAAAATTGATCAGATTAAGATTTCAAGAATACCTTCGTTAATCGAGCATGCCCTTTTTTGTTTTAGAATGGAGGGTTGCTTATAACTCACTTTAAAATTAAAACTGAATAACCTGTTGTACCGTCTATAGTTATCTATGTACAAAGTAAACCATGTAGGTAAATAGCAGACTGTACCGTCTATAATTATCTATGTACAAAGTAAACCATGTAGGTAAATAGCAGACTGTACCGTCTATAGTTATCTATGTACAAAGTAAACCATGTATGTAAATAGCAGACTGTACCTTCTATAGTTATCTATGTACAAAGTAAACCATGTATGTAAATAGCAGACTGTAGAATTAACGATGCTGAAATATGTCAAAGTAAAAATATTTTTTCTTCAGAATATTGTTAAAATGTAATTTTCATGGAGCCTTTCATCTTTTCTTTACTTGTAAATATTGAAATATCTAATCCATAGTTCAATCAAGCACATATATATCCTCCTGACTGCTTTTAAAGATTAAACAGTTTTCAAGCCTGTGTCGGCTGTAAAGTGTTATTACATTGCCTTTGCTTTAGATTTTACTTCATTAACTCAACTGTTTTTGTAGCCCTAGGATATTTACATTTTAGAACAATAAATTAATCTTCGTGGCAGAAACAATCACAAAAAATAATTTTTGCCTTTAAACATTTTTAAAAAAGTGAATATTTGCAAATTATCTTTTTTCCATCTCATGATCTAAGTTCGTTTCCTTTATGTCCATTTGACAGCCCAAGTTTTTTTTCTAAAATAATCTTATTTGTTTGTTTATTTTCTTGTGGTTTTTAACAATTTTTTTTTCATCGATTTTGATGGTTATTATATCGTTAGAACTGACGATCAAGGGTCAACCCAGACCACAGACTACACAGACTGCTTATCTCCTTTGGTGTGGGCTACGTAGGCCTAAGTTGACACGACATGCTACGTTTTTACGATAGGTTTTTAGAGTGCCATCTCACGGCCACTTGTTAAACATAATACACATTCAGGGGTTAAGTTTTACAACTTTTAAAGAAATACTCAAATTTTAAACATGAAACATAACATTTAGGAATTCAGACTTTTTTTTGAAGATTTTGTGTTTCGTATCCAAAGGATCCTAAAATATCCCTGAATATAGATGTTTGCTGATTGGTTGTGTACACTGTACAGTACTTGTACACAATAGAACACGCTGTGGAAAATATCGAATATTTTAGCTGCTAATCGATCTCTGTAACTCTCTTATCTCTGACCCAGACCAAAATATATTTTCAATAAATGTGGAACTATAAACATCTGCTTTTTTACTCTACAGAGATTTGGTTCATCACCATCATTGAATTTTAAAGTTATTGTTTATTACCCTAGTAGAGTAGGTATTGTTTATTACCCTAGTAGAGTAGGTATTGTTTATTACCCTAGTAGAGTAGGTATTGTTTATTACCCTAGTAGGTATTGTTTATTACCCTAGTAGAGTAGGTATTGTTTATTACCCTAGTATAGTAGGTATTGTTTATTACCCTAGTAGGTATTTGGAAAACTTTTCATCGAATTGTCTTGGAATCCCTGTGCAAGGTAAAGT